AGATTTAGAAATATTTAACAACAATCACAACTTAAGAGATTCCGTACCTCTCAAGTTTCATGCACATCGACTGACTTAAAACTGCCTAGAAAGTAGAAATAACGGCTTCCCTTAATAACTATCATATTGATGTTTAAGTAAAACCTGCAGCCAGTTGGTATATATTTCAATCTGCTAGGAGCAATAGAGCACAAATGAGATAGTAATTAAAACACTTGCATTTCAATCCATAACCAATTAAGTAGCATCATAACACTTTCCCCAGCAATAACGTGAGAGCAATTTAGTTCTGGTATAAAGCTTCACACTCCGAAGTAGCAATCAAGCAAACTAGATAATAACAATTGCAATTTTCCTGTAACTAAAGCTTAAAGAGACAGAAACAGTCGATTCAATCCTTTGCATCCGCAATTCCACCTGAAGTTATCTGGAAAACTTACTCCTGTTAAGGAAATAAACGATAAGGTGCAAAAAACCCATGCAAAAAAAAAAAATAAAAAAATGACACGTGCGGTATTAATTAAGAAATATAAAGATTTCGGAGGGAAAAAGGATATTGCTTCGGCTTCTGGAAGGTTGGGGGCATCAAACACCTTGCAGACACGTTGCTCGCCTTTGCCTTTCCTGAACATGAGCCTTATGGTGGCTGCATGGGCCAAGACGTGGCCGCCAGCTGGCTTCTTAGGATCAGAAATGAAGACACCTCCTCCAGGATCAGCAATAACTGCAAATCATTGAAAAACAAAGATACAAAAAAAATGCAGTCTCTTTTCGTTTTTAGCAAACTATGTGGAAGATCAAAATCAGGAAACAACTCAAGTTCTGTTAAACTCTGATTTGAAGTAACTACACAGAGTTAGGATATACCCTGGTTGGTCATGTAGACAGCCACATTGAATTCTTCGGCAATCTTCATCAGCCTCGAGAGCATCTGAGCCAATTTTTGCTGAAAATACAGAGGAAAAGAGCTTGAGATTTACTCTTTAAGTATTCAGAGTTTTTCAACGAGTGGATACAATTTTTTGGTAGAAGGGGACAGACCTGACGTTCTGCAAGTTCTCCTCTGCCAGTGAAGTCAACCCGAAAAAGGGCTATTACCGAATCAACAATCTGAAATCACATTGCCCAAGCACCTCAGGGCCTATTACCGGAATTAGCTGATGTCATCATTTGCCAAAAAGAGAGGTAGAATAGCTCACCAGAAGACGGAAAGGCTCCTCAGCCATTTTGGCTGCTAGACCAAGAAGCAGATTGTACTGATGCTCATATGTGTAAGCACGGGCATATATGATCTTTCAGAAAGTAAAAGACAGAAACAAGAAAAAAAAATGAGAAAGCGATATCAGAAATGATTTGGTCAAAACATAACAACACATGAGAGTTTTAGCTTTACATTGTCAAGCACAGCTCCTGGGTCCATTCCAAATCTTTCAGCAATGGGTATGATTCTATCTGGTCGGCTGCAAGTGCGATTCAATTAAGGATAACAAGAGAAAGGAGTAACGACAAGGAAATATAAACGGATTTTTATCAAAACAAGGGTTAGGCAGCATCTTAAGCTAAATGGTGGGAATAATCTATCAGCTAAGGATACAATGTCCCCTCTGTGTCGATGTAAGCAACTTTTCCATTGCCTCCTTTCATGCTAGTCGGAAGCTGCGAATTCGGAATGCATCAGAAGAATAAGGTTTCAAAGCTAAACACTAGCTTAGGAATGCATGTAGAGCATTTAGAAAATCAATTTTAACATAGATTATTATGTGTGCTTCAGTTTTCATTTCCTTCTTAAAAGAGAGAGGCAAATATTTGTTGACGTATCACCTGTGTGGAAACACAGAGCGTGTGAGCCAGCTGTGTTTTTCCAGATCTGATTCAATTGTTATTTAAAGTAATAAGAATGCGGCAAATTCATTAGCAGCAAGAGACACACTAACAGAAGGTTTGAATTTAGGTGATCGGGGCAGTGTATAAGACAGTGTGCTATTACCTGAATTCCCCAAAAGCTTCTGTGATTGCCGAAGTTTCTATCCCACCTTCATCATGGCCTTAAATGAGTTACGAGCATACTATGATGATAAAGTTCAAATGAACACAAAAAATGAATATCCAATATTACCCCCTAAGAGTTCATCAAGAGACTGACTTCCAGTTGTGATGCGAACGACTGATTTCCTCTATACAACCAAGAACTTTTACATGTCAATTTCTAAGAAACAATCAGGCACAGCACAGTAATTCAAAGTTACTTCATTGTATAGGTAAAAGGGAACTAAGATTCTCACTTTCAACAGAGCATCACTTCCAGTAATGTAACCAAAGTTCTGTTAAATTGAAAGGCGCAATGCAAACAGCGTCAGAAAACACCAAAACTTGATATATTTCTCATAGTAATAATTATTAGGCAAAGCCACTAACCACTATCTTTTCTACAGCTTCACAGATCTTATCAACTTTTGCCTCGGACAGTCCTTTGATTCCAGTCAGATTCTGTTTGAAATATATGTGAATTACATATAAAAAATGTGTTGCAACCAACACAGAAGATAATTGGGTGGTCAGTTCAATTCTTACCTTCTTCGTGTGCATCATTAGACCATTGCACGTATAGATTCCAGCATCCTGCAGCTTCTTCACATCTCCAGCATTGATTCCATGAGCTGTCACTGCATAAGTAAAGTAGCTATTAAAGCAATATCACTGCTTTGTGAGACCACATTTTAACAGAAGATCATTTTCATAAGAAAATCAACACATTAAATTGTAATTGATTGCAATAAATTTCAAGTTCCAGATTAATATAGCAACATTCACCCCAAATAACATAGAGTACGATTGAGGATTTCATTTTAGTGGGAACGTGAAGTAATAATATATGAAGCAATAGATATCATATACCAACTGCGTAGAACTATGCACATAAACAAGCAGTTACGATTTACCATTTCCTGAAAATTATAATCGATTTTCTTCATACCGAATACAGTGAGACAACTATTCAGAACTGATTTACATTGGAGACAGAATATAAACAGATGTTGACATTTCTAATTCCTTCGAAGAAATATGTTCGATATGAGATCAGATCTATCCATACGCTATTCAAACATGACAATCAGAAACGCAGGAAAACAAAAAGCTCCAGCAAACAGTATTCTATAAACAGCGAAAACTACTGCACTTGAATCATTACATATATGCACAGAAAAACCAGGAGAATTTTCTGAACAAAGGGAAAGACATTAGATCGAAACGTAAACAAATTTGCCAAACAGGATCAGTTGTAAGAATTGAAGCAGAAAACTTGAGTTAAAGGAATAGAAATATGAATAAGCAAACTATATTTCAATTTTCCAGCAGAGAAATTTTGGATTTATCTGATTCCATATCAAAATCAACCAAACTACATAAATTAGATTTTGAGATGAAAATACAAAATCTCATACACACTAAACGGAGTGACAGTTTGAGATTTCCTTACGTTTGTCAATTGCTTCGAAAAGTTCTTCTTCATCTTCGATCTCTTCTCTTTCCACGATCTGCAGCTGGCTCTGCTCTTCAGCTCTGTTGCTCAAAATTCAACACCAGAAAATCGGAAATAAGTTAGTAGTCATGGAAATAGGATTTGATTGCTGAATCAATCCAGCTTCAAAGTGAAATATTGAAACGGATCATACTTGAATGCAAACATTTTCGACTGAGAGAGGGAATTTTTCGGGTAGAGAGCTGTTCAAGCGAAAGCGCGGTTAAACGAATTTGATGAATGTTTTTTAATTTCGAAAGGCGAAGGGTTATATATGGCGAAACCGTGGAATTTTATTCAGTGCTGCAGGTTAGTGCGACTGCAAAGGTTATATCCGTATATTTGCCTTTGATTTTCTCTCATTTTTCATTTTTCACGTTTCAATTATATTATCAATATAATTGAATTATATCACTCAATCATTCTTACACGTCATATCAATTTTAGTTTATTATTCATCTGCTCACATAATTTTAACTAACTATCACTTCACATCATCTATCTCATACTTTGATATGAAGTAAATTTTAATAATTTTATATTAAATATTATTTTAATGTTTCACTAAAAATTAACCAAAACAAATTTTTAAAAATTGACCAATGTTAACTACAATAATTAATACAAAAATTAGTTTATTTGCATTAAAGCAATACTTTTTTTTTTAATTTCTTTTAACAATCTCTTTCTAATTAAGGGCCATATTAAATTATCGGAAAAGGCTGTATCCATTATGATAGGCGAAGGAACAGTAAGTAAATGGCAGGTGGCCGCTGCCAATGCCGATTGCCCGATAGGTCTGCTTTCAAGGATTTATGATAGGCTATAATTAGCTAAATTTTGTCCCCCACTCACCTTTTCATTTGTTTCCAAGATTAAGACATCCTATTACACCATAATAATTNNNNAAAAAAAAAACGGATCCATTTTTCATTAGACGTCCTAATAAGTTAGGGTGATACAAAAGTTTATGCTTAAAATGGATATTTTTGGTTAATTATAGTTAATTTAAAAAATATCATATGCCATATAGAAAATAGACTTAGTTTATTAAAACATGTTTTTCAATGCAATTAAAAGTGAACTAGGTCTAACTTATGTGGCAATTAAAAAATAAGACAAAGTGTACATTTGGGTCTATTTTGGACCCAAGTACAAACCTGAGCAGTCAGCATTTATTCATAATTTAATTTTTCTCTTAATATAAAAAATGTTTTAGAGCATTTTTATTGGTTGACAGATATTATGGACCTAGTATTTTATTTTTGCACGGGATAACTTTTTGATTTTTATACTTGAGTTTGTCCATGTCATTCAGAACTTAAGTCCATTTATATGCCACATAGTGCCGTAATTGAACTGAGCCGAGCTTAGGTAGTTCGAGCTCGAGTTCGAATAATATTCGAGCTTGTTCGAGTGAGTTCGTTTACTGGTCGAGCCTAGATTTATGTTCATTTTCGTTCGTTTATTTGTTCGTAAAGTTTGTGTTCGGCTCGTTTAATTAAACGAAATTATTTGAACTTTTCAAACGTTCGATTAGCTCGAATTGTTCGATTATCAAGACTTTAAAAAATTACAAAAGAAAAAAAATAACCAACAAACAATGGACCAAATTGCAAAAATTCAATTCAGCCTCAGTCTAAGCTCACAGTCCAGAGGTAAGACAATTCAATGATTCACATNAAAAAAAAAAAAAAAAATTACAAGAGATTAACACATTTTGAGGGAATTTCAGCTCCAAGAAACAATTAACCAGAATAAGAATATCCAAAAAATAAGCCCAAATTAAACTTAAAAATATTGGTGGGATGCGTTTGGTGGTCCTCAATAAAGCGGCCTTTGGATATGTGAGAATTCGAGTCTGGACTGGAAGTCTGGAGATGAGGTTGGACGATGTCGTCGTGAACTGAGGGTTGTGCGAGAATTCCGAGTGTGAACGATGCTTGAGGTTGGACGATGGCGATGAAATTGAAGAATGAAGACGAGAGAGAATTTTGAGGCGATGGCGATGAATTTGAGGGCGAGAGTGCTATTGGAGTGAGGGGTTGAGGGTTATATATCGCCGGGAAACAATCAGAGGATGGGAGGTGAGAGACGGTGTTCGGCGGGGTGGGCAACGGAAGGGCGATGGAGAGTTGGAGTTTGGAGACGAGAAGAGGCGGAGAGGGATTAAGGTTTTGATTTCTGAATCTCTGATTCTGGTTTGAACTTTGAATCCCTATCTTGCCTTCTTGACGAGAATTAGTGGTCCACTATCTAATTTCAAGATATTTTTTTAATGTTANTTATATATATAATATTATTATAATGGTTCTGTTCGCGAACGGTCGTTTATGTTCGCGAACATGTTCGTGTTCGTTCGAATAATAAACGAGCTGAATTTTATGTTCAAGCTGGCCTCGATTATTAATAGAACGAGCTCTAAACAAACACGAACGAGCTTTCGTTCGCTAACCTTCGGTTCATTTGCCACATATGTAAAATTAAACCTAATGCATTGTGGATGCATGTTTAGGGATTTTGTGTTTATATTAAACTAATATTTAAAAAATAATAATGAAAGTTATGATTTTAAAAGTATGAGAGAAATAGTATGAAATGATTATTAGTAAAATTATGTGAGTGAATGAATAGTTAATTAAAGTTGAAGTGAGGTGTAAAAATAATTGATTGGTATTATTTAATTATATTGATAATATTGAAAATAATGATATTGAATTAAAATTGAGTTAGATTTTTAATTGCATTGAGTATGAAATGAAATTTTTTATATCTAAGCACACCCTTTAGGCCTATTTTACTTGAGGGGATAAAATGTGATAAAACTTATATATTCACCCTCTTCGTTTGTTTATTTATTGAGTGCAAATGGGATTGTGCCTAAGTGTCATGTGGGGCCCACATGCTAATCCCACAATGGCCGATAATTTTAGTCCGACCTTGAGGCTGAGATTTTTTAATCCAAGCTTTGAAATGACCAATGTGTCCATAAATTTGCTTGTAAATTGTCCTAACCGCACTGTGTGTATAATTATTTACGAACAGTGGTTGTATAAAATTATTTGTCGGTGTAAGTTTTTTTTTTTTTTTTTTTTAAATTCGATGGACATAATATAATTGTTTCCAGATCTCAAATTGTAAAATGTTTTATGAAAACCATCTGCGTGTATATTTTGTCGTTTGTTTATGTTGTCGTTGTTAGTATTTTTCCCTGCCAAGCTTACGAAAATTGAGGGCTAGTGATAAGGATCCTTCAGTCAAGCTCCAGATATGGAACAACGTCGCATTTTACAACAGCGACGGAATCTCCGAGGATCTAAGTGCGAGTTGTTAGTATATATATTGAAAACTTTGCTTTAGATGTCATTCACACTATGTATATATGTTGAATGAGATTTCATGTTGATTAAATAAAATTCTATGTACTATTGCTCTGCATTTAGATAAATGGTTCATCACGGGTAGACAAAAGATCATTTATCGGTTACTTGCGAAACATAAACAATTGGTTCACAACCTAGATGCAAATTGAACAGACCTCGAAACAGTTGTAGTGTGGACGGTACAGTCGGCCTTGACTGATTGATCACACTATTACTCATAAGTGTATTGAATGGATCCAAAGAGGAACAATTCGTTTTATACTGATCGACGTAAATAAGTAAGAGATCAGCTAGTTACTGCGTTCTCTTAACCTGTAAGATATAAACTGACACATGTATGTAGTAGTTACTGCTTTGAATCAACAAAGTGAGGTTCATAGTTATGGACCAATAACTATCTGTTCTTGGTAGTAATTCCTACATGACATGGTGTTTTGTTATAATATTTACGGTCACCGTGTACTTCACATAGTTGAGGTTTGATGATGTCCCCGAAGAGAGATCAGAAGGATTATTAAGTTAAATCCTACAAGTGGAATAAATTCCGACATAACAATAATGCATTGGACGGTGTTAGCTTCAGTTCAAGAAGTTGACTAATTTAATTATCAGTAATTAAATAAATTCACGGACAATATATCTTAAACATGAGAAGGTAATTTGAGTAATTTAGAAGTGGAGCTGAAATCGTAATATGGGACTTAAATTAGGAGAATTCTATAATACTACTTTAGTGAAATGACTATATTGTTCATATTTGGGCTAAGTTGGCTTGACCCACAGTTAGTCCCAAATATGGCATGCCCAGTTTAATACCTCTTTAAGGCCCCTATTAAAGTCTATAAATAAACATCTTAAATATATAATTTATACAAATAGTAAATGCACAATATCGTTTATAGAACGCACAATAACAATATACATGAAAGGCACAATATTATGTGACGATATACACATTAAAAAATATGTCATATTATTATGAAATTACATAATCTATACCTTTAGAAGTTTACAAATTTACCAATTAGCGCATATTATACAAAAATGTCAAAACCGAATTATCGAGTTGAGCGTTTGAAAAAAAAAATAAAAAAATTGAACAATTGATTTTTTAATTAGGTCTACGGTGCATTCTCGCACTCAATAACAGCTTGTATAGCAATATTATGCATTCATACCGCATTTTTAATGATTTGATCCAAACCAAATTAAAACATAACGAAACAATCTCAGTTAAACAAAATATCTTAAATACTCAAAATAATTTACTATTTATATTATGAAGATATATAAGTATTTTAAAATTTAAATTCTATATTTATTTTTGGTTGAAATCGATAATGTGCGTTCTCACACACTCTAATGTGCATTCGTNATAATTCTATTTTTTAAAAAAAGTTAAGGATTATCTATTTTATAAAAAAGACACCTATCAATAAATAGTTACTTTTAATATATTATCTATTAAATAATTTTCCTTTTTATAAATAGATAGTAACTTTTAACAATCTGTTATTGAATTATTTTTATGTCCAAAAATATTATAGAGATTAACAAATAAATAACGTAGAAAATAAAGTTGAACCAACCCCCACCCCCCAAAAAAGAAGCAATTTTCAAAATAATAATCATAATAAAAGAAAGTAATACTCCCTCCTATTCATAATAAGTGTCGTTTTGGGAAGTTGCACACTAATTAAGAATAATTTTTTTGTCACTAATAACCCTCATTAATGAAGATAGAGATGAATGTTTTAAAAAAAAAAAGATGAAGAGAATATGAAAAGACGTAGTGTATAAATGAGGGTAATAATGGAAAAATATGTACAAAAGATCCAAAACGACATTTATTTTGGTTAATAGCTGATAAAGCCAAAATGACATTTAAAAAGAATAGGAGATAGTATTTTTT